AACTGTAAGGTTTGGTGGAGGAGGGATAATGCTATGGGGTTGTTTTTCAGAGGTTGGCTTAGGCCCCTTAGTTCCAGTGAAAGGAAATCTTAATGCTTCAGCATAACAATACATTTTGGACAACTGTATGCTTCCAACCATGTGGGAACAGTTTGGGAGAAGGCCCTTTTCTGTTCCAGCATGACTGAGACCCAGTGCACAAAGCAAGGTCCATAAAGGCATGGCTAGGCAAGTTTGGTGTGGAAGAACATGACTGGCCAGCACAGAGCTCTGACCTCAACCCCATCAAACACATTTGAGATGAACTAGAATGGAGATTGCAAGCCAGGGCCTCTCGTCCAACATCAGTGTCTGACCTCACAAATGCGCCTCTGGAAGAATGGTCAAAAATTCCCATAAACACACTCCTAAACCTTGTGGAAAGCCTTCCCAGAAGAGTGGAAGCTGTTATAGCTGCAAAGGGGTGACCATCTCCATATTAACACATATGAATTGAATGGGATGTCATTAAAGCTCCTGTATGTATAAGGTAGGTACCCCAATACTTTTTTCCATATAGTGTATGTGCTACCTTTAGCCAAAGCCCACTGTAGCTTTTGTTATTTTCAAATTTCATTATCCTAAAAAAAATGCAGCTTAATACATAACCTTTCAGCATTTGATTGGGTAGGCTTGTAACCAATTTAGGCCTACCTGTGTCTACACCCCTGATATACAGATATATGTGAAAAATATGTGAAAAAGTCTTACCATTTTATTTTTATGAATCACAGTACTGTATATCACTGGGCTTTCAGTTGTAAGTGCCTGTTTCACACACACAAATGTGATTTTACACAAAATCAAAACTAGATGAGCAAAATGGACCCATAAAAGTATTATATTTTTCTAAAAACAAATGAGCTTTCAAAATTACAAATCTGATGCAAGAGAGACACAACACTAACTACTGCACCATGACTTTAACCACTAAGAGCAAATCTGCACCATAACCACAATACTGACTGACTGAACTACAGTATTACTGACCCTTTCTCTGGTCTCTGTTTGATTTCCATCTGTTAGAGTGAGATATTAATGAATTAATGAATTAGTTGTCTACTTGTACTTATGTAATAACACAACATTCATGGTAACACTTTCTTTGAAGGGTGTCTACATAACACATTCATATCACCTTACATAAACACTTCATAACATGTTCATGAATGCTTAAATCAACATTCATAAACTATACATGTTTTACATGATATTAATATGGACTACTATGTCATTTTACCGAAAGATGTTTTTCAAAATATAAGTCCTCATTTTATTTACTATTTTCAGTGAAACTCCTCTTTTCTGGACTGTCAGCATAAAATGACCTGGCTTTATTCCTTTGGACAGAAAGTGTTCTGACACTTTTTGCCTAGACTTTCAACTTTTTAATAAAAAAAAATTCTCAAGCATTTTTATTTTGCAATATGCTATTTTTTCTACTTTTTACTGTAAATGTACTGTTCATTCAACACTCTATACATAATTGTGGAAAATGTTACTTAAACTAAGTTTAACTTTCTTGGGGTAAATGCTAACACTGTTATCCCAATTATTTTGGAGGTTTTATTTTAGTGATGTTCTTCCTCACTTACGGTTTTGGAGAAGGCACAAGTATAACTGTGCATTAGTTATCCTGTGTAACTGAGGTTAAATGTGGCAAGCACTGTTATCACAAGGAATGATTCCTTTTTTGGCATTACTTCAAAGTACAATCGAGTGGTGCCTCTTTGACTTTTCTCACTCAGGGTGCTGATAATTTTGTAAGAAATGTCCTTTATAAATTTGCCTTGCTTTGCCTTCACCATAAAAGTGATGGAAGTCACGTTATTCTCACTAAAGTGCATGTTACATGAATGGATGGATCTTGAATGGAATGGGTAAGTATTATGGACCTGTCTCACCACCACACAAAGTTTGAGACTTTAAGTTGATTGACTGTTCATAGCATATTTATGAGTAATTCACTGTCCACATAGTAAAGTGACATGCAAGACAACATTCATAAGTGATTCATAGCATTTTAAGAAGCTGTTAATATACCTTATAGTAAAGTGACATGCAAAGCAGCATTCATAAGTGATTCATAGCATTTTTGAGATGTTTACAAACCATGTGTATAAACAGTGATAGTGATTTACAATTAAATATCTACAATTATTTTCCCTACCTTTGCATCAAAACCCTGTGAAATGACTGTGAAAAGGAGTCAATAAACACCACAAGTAGGAAGGTCCTTTTTTTATTGGCAAGACCTCTGTTCAGAACAGGCACTTAAACATGCTGCTCAAACGCAAATCAGGAAACTACAAACTCTTCTGAACATGGAACTGCAAAATACAGATGTGTTCAATAAAATCTTCAACTCTTTTCTAAAACGAAAAATAAAACACACCACCTCACTTTGCTCCTTTTCTTCTTAGACTGAAATTATTTTAAATTCTCTGAAAAACAAAACAAAAATGTGAAGAAAATAAACAAAACGGCACAAGTCACTGCAAGAGTCTGAAGATATCATGATACTGGCACTGCTGCTGGTTGTCTGTCCTTTTCTGGCTATAAAAAGATCAAACGAGCAGTCAAATGTGTGGAACTCTACACGTACAGGATGAGCCTATTTATACTGAAAGCGCATGAACATTATGTTAGTGGGCTAGATAGACTGTCACAGCAGAGGTATGATATATAACTAGCAGTATAGCAGTTAAATTAGCTACTTTACTTATGATCAGTAACTGTAGCCAAGAAACTTAAGTTAAGCTAACCTAACTAGCTGCAGACTAACGCTACCTTACATTAGCTATTAAAACGCATCATGCTAATGTTAACATCACCTAAATAGCTAAGTTACATGATTCAGTTAAGGCCCAAAAATTAATAGACCTTATGCGGCTCTTGTTAACAATATTGTTTTTTTTCGAACTTAAAATAACTGATACTGATTTAACTTAGCTTACTGTTTTGTAACCGTGCCTGTCAAGTTGAAGTAGTTAGTGGGCCTAAATGAGCATTACTTATGACGCACAGCAGTGCGATGCGGAGTGATACGTTAAACAAGCTAGTCCCAAATGCAAGGTCCACGTAAAACACTCGCTAACGTTTGGCTAGTGACGTGGTCTATACCAGGGGTCGGCGAAGTGTCAACAAAAATCATTTTACTATCCTGGCTGTAATGTGTCTCAGTATGTGCTAATGTGCTAGTATAGGCTAAAAGTATAGAAACGAAAGACTTACTTTGCTCTGCTTTAACCTTTAGCTCAGCTATAGCCGCATGTCTCGCATCTCCACTACGAAACTTTGCCGAAAAGTTAAATAATCTTGTAAAAAAGTGAAATAATTTTTGTAAAATGTCTCTCAAAGTTTGTTTTTTACGAGGCTGAAGTCGCTTCTCGTTCGCCAGCTTTTTGTTCGAATTTACCCGTTCGAAAAACAAGCTGGCGAACGAGAAGCTTATTTCAGCCTCGCGACTTTTCAGTATTTGATAGTTTCTCGTTACAGATTAAATATATCGGGAAACCAACTGGAGTGATAATGAATTCATATAAGTCCGTTCGTATCCAAATTACCGATGTTCTGAACAGTGGTCTTGCCCATAAAAAAAAGGACCTTCCTACTTGTGGTGTTTATTATGTAGACACACTTCAAAGAATAGCACAATAGCAAGATAGTGCAACATAGACATTTGGTAATAGTCATTAACTCCATCCTTTTTAATAGCAACATAGACCTGTAAGAAAATGGGAGGTAATGAAAACTTACTGCACTTTTTTCTCAGCATGCAGGTTATACTGATGGTCAGAACCAGCAGCAGCCCCAGGCCTACAGCCAGTAGACCCCAGATAACCCTGGTATTTCCATTGCTGCAATGAACAATGATATCTTTCATTGAAAACCTTACATTTAACCTACGATTTTTAAAGTATACATGTTGCCAAATAAGATAAGGTTTTTTTTTGTATCTAAAGTACAGAATGAATAAAAGTTCAGTTCATCAACATTTCACATCATATATGAAATAATTCTGTTGCTTTCTCTCATTTGACTCACTAACTTTCTCATAAGTTGTTACTGCAGAAGAGGCAACTGTTCTGCAGAGAGCAAAAGAAAAATAGCATGCTGTATTGAAGTGTGAAAAACCACGCCACCATACAAAAAACCCAGCATTATACAAAAGGGCCACTGTCCATGGCACATGCACACTCCAACACTGTTTGCAACCCATGATGTTGTGCAGAGGACTATATTAAGCAGTACCACAATCCAGCTAGAGCTTAAAAAAAAGCGATCTTCAACATAACCTCACACGTGCCTGCTTCTGCTCAACATTGCAATGCACTGTTCCTCCCTTTTAAGAGTTTCTTTTTAGGAACCCCCCTTTCAGGGGGTCCAGAGGGTTAATTAGGCCCTATATTTCATACCTTGACTATGTCCAAAAGTATGCAGACACCTTTTCTAATTTATTTGGCTCATAATTTAGTTACTGATGATACTGGATTTCAACTACACACACAACTTGAATAATTTCCATAGAAAACCCAATAGAATGGGATGCTCTGGAGCAGCCAAACATGAGCTTAAGGTCACCATGAACAGTGCTAAGCATCAGCTGGAGGGGTATGGGGTGTGGAGCAGTGGGACTACATTCCTTGGAGTTATGGAGCTCCATTCAATATCTCTGGGATGAGTTGGAGTGATGTTTGTGATCCAGAACCAATCATTCAACATCAGTACCTGACCCTCTTTATTTCAGGAGAACCATTGGATGAGCAGGTTCTACAAACTTTTGGACATATAGTGCATGTATAAGTTAGGATTACTTAAATTTGCTGTACTTACTAAACTAAAGAGACACATCCTGGTTCAAATGTTTCTAATCTATGATTATTAGAGCATGCATGGTTCCAAATAATGAACATTTCATTGATATTTGAAGTGTACAATCAACACATTCTTAGAAGCTGTTACTGCAGGAGGGGCGGTTCTTCTTCTGCAAAAAGCAAAGAGCAAAAACATGCTATACTGAGGTGTGAAAGTACAGCTATTTTTACAGACTAACAACACTTACAGGACTATGCTACTTAAATGTCTTGTAGAATGGAGACACATGGTGCAGTATGTCCAGAAGTGTCAGACAGCCATTCTAATTAGTGAATTCAGCTACTTTAAAGTTGAACCCGTTACTGACACAGGAGTTAAACTGCACACACATAGTTTATATGATCTCCTTAGAGATGCACAGCTAATAGAATGGATGCTCTGGATCAGCTGCACATGAGCTTAAGCCTAATGCCTAACGCCAGAGGTCAACCAGAGGGCAATAATCCCCCTGCATTGGGCTGTGGAACAGTGGAACTGTATTCTCTGGAGGGATGGAGCTCCATTCAATAACTTTGGGATGACATAGAGTGGTTATCCAACCTCAGTACCTGACCTCACTAATGCTCTTGTCATTAAATGCAATCAAATCCTCACAGCAATGTTTAGGCATCTAGTGTCAAGGACTCCAAGAAGAGCAGAGGCTGTAACTGCAGCAAAGGGTGACAATCTCCCTATTAACCCCTACTAACACTACTGTAGGGCCATGTTTATAAAGCTGCATTACAATTACATAATGCTTTCATGACAAACATTTATAAAGGCGTATTCTAAAAAGCATTAGTTGTTGTAAAGACTGCTTTTGACAGCTTCAATGTCAAGTTGACATAACAGAAGTGACAAGTGTCAAGTGCCATAGGTTATGATGGATAACTTTTTAGTGTTTTTGTAATTTGTCTCCTGTTTCTAGTAGAGTGAACGTGAACTGGATATTGTGTATGGGAAAGCGGTTCCTTACCACCAAGAGAGAAAGTGTTTGAGTGCATTTTTGTAAGGTAGTACTAAAAACATGAATCATCTGCTGTCTTGCTATTTCGTTTCACACATACTCTGTCATTCAAATTTAGTGGCAGCATACACTCTTAAAAAAGATGGCTCTTCAAGGGTTCCTTATTAAAGAAAATGCTTCTATATAGAACCATGAACACTCAAACACTTTACATTATTAAACATGATAAGTGTTTTGGTCCACAAGGATTGGAGCCTGGCGTGAGTGCCATAGGGATTCATATATATATGATACTCACTTTACTTAAGGGCCAAAGAAAACATAGAAAACTGTGTCATAACAGTGTGCCAGTATCAACAACTTCACAATACAACTACAAAGAGAATACCATTTCTGTATTGTAGTTATATTGTGAAGGTGTTGATAAATACTATTCAAAGTTGGCTGAGAGAGCAGTGGTGGTCAAGCGGGCTAGAGAATGAATGAATGAAGAGAGCGAATGGCGATAACGAATACAAAGCAGTGAATCAGAGAAATTAAGCTTCATTTTCTGATTGTTTCGTGGTTGTTACATTCTAACACCTCCACACAACCCTGTTTGAAGGATTTTGTGTGAATGTAGGCGAAGCTCACACTTCAACCTGTCTGCTGCTGCAGCCTCTATCTGCTTTGTGTGTTCTGTAAGACAGGGGTGGAACCACTCTGACGGTTGACCAATCGGAACAGAGTGGGCAAGCTGACCAATCAGGGCACACTGGGCTCATTTGGAGGGGGCCTTAAAGACACAGGAGCTCTGACAGAGTTTCTGACAGAGGGTAAAAGTAGGCGTACAGTATAAAAAAGTAAAGTGTTTTTTGCAACATTGAAGCATGTGATATCTATTCTAGTATACCCCAGAAATAAAATTATGAACACTTAAAATGAGCATAATAGATCCTCTTTAACAAAAAATCTTACATAGTGCAGTTATGTATGCTGGGTAAAGCATACATGTTGCCAAATAATGCATATTTTCTTAAATATTGCTTCTTTTTTAAATAATTTTGGGAGTCTAAAATCATTAAAAGCTCAGCTCATTTGCATTTCACATACTTATTGCATCTTCCCACTCTTGCTTGTGCTGTGTTCATTCTCAGAAGCTGTTACTGCAGGAGGGTTAATTGTTCTTCAAAAAGCAAAGAGCAAAAACAGGCTATATTGAGGTGTGAAAGTACAACAGTTTTTGAACACTTGCATTAAGTATAATGTCACTACTTACAGCTCTGCTGTTCTCATCTCTGTATTTTTAGTCACAGTTTTAGAACCTAGAAGGACAAAATAATCATTCATTCTTTCTATTTCTTGATTTGATGAATTTTAAGGCTCTGTTTGTGATCAGACCTGAAATGGTTTCACTGATGCTGGTTTTCTCAGTGGCAGAAACTGTAGTCACAGCTGTTGTTGCTGAAAATGAGATACAAATTGATGTGAGTGGTGTATTACAGCTTGATGATCTGCAGGTATGAACAGTATTTCTGATACATGTGATCTTACTTGAAGGTCTTTCAGTGACAGTGAGGTGAACAGTAACCCCCACATCTCCTGCACTGAACCAGTACCAGCCAGCATCACTCTTCTGCAGACCCCTCATCTCCACACTGACGGATCCTTTTCCATCATCACTGACCAACACTGATGAATTCTGGGATGTGTCAGTCCTCTCTAACGTGTAGCAGCTCCAGTCTTTAAATCTGCACCACTGCTTCTGTTTATTCTGATATTGGGCACTGCAGAGACACTGGACACTGACACTGCCCCCTTCCTGACCACTCACTCTGCTGTTTATCACTGACACAGCAGGATCTGAATAAAGAGACAGAGAATGAGTGGTGTAATAATACATCCTCCATTATAAATGACATCTTACAGTCTTTACATTTAAACAGATTCTACACACAGAGAGACTCCTTACCTGCACTGACCATCAGGTACAAATAATCCTTGTCATCAGGGGTCCCACTTCCACCAATTTCCACAGCACACCAATAATATCCAGAGTACGAGTCTCGGAAGCTGTTCAGTTCCACAGTAAACATATTCTGGGTTGGATGATCAGTGACGAATGTATTTCCATTTGTGTCTGTATAGGCTACTATTTTACAGGAGGACCAGTAATACCCCTTACACCAGTATTTACGGTTTGATTTGTATTTCTCATCATAGAAACATGGAATACTGAGAGATCCACCAAGTTTTGCAGCTACATTCTTCAGTGTCTTCAGGCTCTCAGAATCTGCAGATAAGAAGCCAAAATATACCACAGCCTCAGTCCTACACTCTTAAAAGGGTTCTGAGAGGGTTCTATAGTATATGCAATGATTATACACTCACTTTCCACTTTGTTAGATAGCCCTATCTTGTATGTATACTCGTTGTCCATTTTATCAGCTCCACTTACCATACAGGTGCACTTTCTCAATCAATGATTACAGACACAGCAGCACTGATGTGTCTGATCCACTGATACCAGCACAACACACACTGTAGTGCTGAGAATGATCTATCACCTAAATAATACCTGCACTGTGGTGGTCCTGTGGAGGTCCTCACCATTAATGAACAGGTTAAAGAAGGGCTAACAAATTATGCAGAGAAAGAGATGGATTACAATCTGTACTTGTACATTGTATATCTTTTTTAACAATATTGGATATTATGAGTTTTGGAAAAGAGAAAACGTTGCCATATAATGGAAAACACCATTTTTATATTTCTCTGATAGACGTGGTATTAATCTTAATATAGTATTGAAGTTTAGTTTACATGTTAAGCCCACCCCAACAGCATAAATCATGGAAAAAAAAAAAACAAAACTTTGGAGCAAAACCCTTCAATCGTTGAACTACGAAGCGCGCCTATATGGTAGGTGGACCTTATAACGTTGGACCACAAGTATAGATACCTAATAAAATGTGTCTTTACCACATAGTGAATAGTTGCATCCATAATGTTATGATGGTCAGTTATTTAAATGTTTTTTAAACTAATTTTTCTACTGGTATGTAAGTTACAGGGCTTTTTTGTTATTACATAGAGCCCTTCTTGCTAAGGGTGAACCCAGAAACAACTTCACAACTATCAGTGTCCATAAAAAGTGTTCACTACAGGCTCTTTTTGTGAAACACATTAAATCAGATACAAAACGTTCAAAAGCAGAACACATAAAAGATGTCTGTATCCACCCTCACATGGACGAGTTTAAAGCATTTAAAGCAGTGAAAGTGTAATGAACACAAATTCAGTTCAAAGAAATGAAGCTACATTGATCTTACCTGAGATACAGAGGAGTAACACAAAGGGAATTAAAGAACTCCTGAGTGAGTAAAAGTGCATGTTTCTGTAAGAGACTCCAGAGACAAACACTCTTCCTGCCTCTGAGTGAAGCAGCTCCACTTCAGAGCTCTTCCTGTTTTGTATTTTCCTCTTTTGCTAGTTCTTACTCTGTCTAATGTATAGAGCAAAAACATCAGACGAGCAGAACCCCGGCAAACTCAGAGATTTTCCAGTGACCTTTAGACCCTCATGCTAAATTAATTAACTAACTAATTATTCCATATTATTAACCAATCATTCACAGTAGTGTTGGGTAACTATGAGTAAACAAATTAGCTCTAAGGCTGGCTTTACATTGTGAAACTTCCATGCAACTTTAGTTGCTTGAAACCTACATGAAACTAAATTATATTTGAGTTGCATAATGTAAGTGTCTTGGAATTCACTTGAAACTCAGCTGCAACAATTGCAAGCGTCTCAACTTCGTCAAACAAGTTTCATGTAACAGTCATTCAGAATGCTGATAAAGCATCACACAATTATAATAAACAACATCATTTCAAATCATTGATTTTACTGGGTTAATGAACAAGAAAATTATACAGAAGAAACTTTATTGAATGTCAATTTATTGACAAACAAGCATGAGCTGCACAAAGTTAACCTTTCTGTAACCAGCTTAACTAGCGAGCTAACAGCAACAGCTGTTTAAGCTGTTTGTGCCACTGTTTATTGATGATTTCATTATTAGATGATTTATTTTCTCCTCTGCTGAGCATAAGACTTATTACCTCTGCATGGCGTAAAGAATGCGAACATATAGCATGATACAAAATACATGTCACTAAACCACGAAAAGTGATAAAAAACTAAATGTTTTAAAAATCATGGCCATTATCAAACACAGTACTATAGAAACATTTGATGCTACATACTCATTTTCATTACAGACCTACAGGCTTAAAATGTTTGCATGATCACAAATCAGAAAACTGCTGAGGGTAAACAAATGCAGCATGCTGTCTGACAAAGAATATTTTTATTAAGCAAGAAACTGATTTATTATTTCAGAAAAAGAATGTCTGTATAACTTTGTTACAAGTGATGAGAACTTCCAGTATAGCCCTACTGGAGGTTGTGGCAGAACAAAGGACACTCAACAAGCTGTTAGCCATCTTGGACAATACCTCACACGCTACACTGGATAAACGGAGAAGAACATTCAGTGGCTGACTGTTACAGCTGCGCTGTGTTAAAGAGCGCTATGTGAGATCTTTCTTACCCACTGATATACGGCTCTACAACGAGTCTCCTTACTGCAGCGACGGTACTGATCTCCTGCTGTCTGAACTGTGCTGAACCTCATCACTGTATCTCCTCTCCTGTTAATACTCACTGTGCAATATATCATAACCTGCTGCTGTAATGACACTTTAACTATGCACTTTACATTGTAATATTGCTGTAACTCCTAGTTATGTCTATACTCATTGTGCTTTTAGTTTGCCTCATACCACTCTACCACTCTGCTATCATGTAAATACAACAACTGTCTCAGTATATGTATGAATGGCTAATCTGTGTAAGCTGCAGCCGTCACAGTGCTGCTTCACTCTTACCACACAGAAGTGTGTGTGTAAAAGAGGCCCAAGTATCACTTTAGTGTGTATTGGTATCATTGGACTTTCTCTGTGCGCAATTTGGGAGAGACAACATGGCTGTGCAAGAATATTTCTGTCTTTATGCCTCTTAGTGGCCATTGTGCTGGTCGAATGGAAATTGACTCTGATATTTGTAATTTATATAATCAACTAAATATTTTTCCAAATAACTCTGTTAATAGTTTAACCAGGACACTGACGTGTCCCTGCACAGGTCAGCAAAGAGATCTGCTCCAAAACATGCAGAAATCACATTTTATGGCTGTTGTGAAACGACGTAAAGCTGCCATTTGAACAACAGTTGGTTTGTAAATAACTGTTGGTTTGTGTTTGTTTTTGCACTGAAATGATGTCACTGCCGCATTTTAAATATCTCACTTGGGTCACTCCCAGGAAATTACAGTGTCTAATGTGCAAATTGAGGTTTGCGGGAGGAAGTGACCTAAAGATCCCTGTGAGTCTTACTTTTTGTTCTGTTGGATAAAAGATGGTATTTCTGTGCTTGTGAAGATCAACAAGTAACTGAAGTGTTTTTCTGGATATATTCCACTAAACTGCCTTTCCAAGATTAAGACTTGCACTTTTCCTCCATATTTTATGTTACTCTTTGTGCTTATTGCTACATGCAAGCTAACATTGCTGTGCAGTGAACTGACATCATAAGACTGGCAACAAAAACCAGCAAGCTTTATCAAATGTGGGAGTTAAGTTGCTTTAGCAGTTGTAGCCTAAAGCTTGAGGAGCTGATGTTGTTTTAGAGATGATTTACAGTATCAGACTTGCATGTGACAAAATCGGTGAAAGTCTTAATGACAAGGATTATTTGTACCTGATGGTCAGTGCAGGTAAGACGTCTTTCTGTGTGAGGTTGAATATGTTCACTGTAAAGTCTTGTAAGACATCATTTATAATAGAAGACATGTTTACACAACTCATTATTCAGATCCTGCTGTATCAGTGATAAACAGCAGAGTGAGTGGTCAGGAAGGGGGCAGTGTCAGTGTCCAGTGTCTCTACAGAGCAATATCAGAATAAACAGAAGCAGTGGTGCAGATTTAAAGACTGGAGCTGCTACACAGTAGAGAGGACTAAAACATCCCAGAATTCATCAGTGTTGGTCAGTGATGAAGGAAAAGGATCTGTCAGTGTGGAGATGAGGGGTCTGCAGAAGAGTGATGCTGGCTGGTACTGGTTCAGTGCAGGAGATGTGGGGGTTACTGTTCACCTCACTGTCACTGAAAGACCTTCAAGTAAGATCACATGTATCAGAAAGACTGTTCATACCTGCAGATCATCAAGCTGTAATGTTGTGCCACTCACACCAAAAAAAAAAAAAATTGAATTTACGTTCTGATGACAGATGAGATGTTTAATTTGTGTTGAAGTAAGAGCAGGACTCATGGGTGTCACGCAGCAAAATACAGTGAGATAAACTCTTTGGATAAATGGAAATGAAGCAGAAAACCCAACAAAACTTTTAAAAACACAAAAGCTCTCATTCCTGACCATTATCAAATGAAGTACTAGTTAAAAGCAAATAGATTTCCTGGTTGGTCCACCAGAGTAGTGATAGAACTCGGTAAATATCAAAATGATTGAGTTATGTGATGATGTCACATGTGAAAAATGTAAAGAATTACCGTATGAAGTAACCTGTGGAAAAAAAGTAAATCCTTTCCCAGGATGCATGTTGGTGAAATTGTGAGCAAATTTTTGCTTAAGGGCGTTTTTAAATTTTAAAATATGAAAAAGTGTCAGGTTGTAGGAACCATAGGTTAATTTGTGATAGTTATTTTTAAAAGTACCCAAGTTTTGTCCTGAATCCTGTTGTGGTGAGATTTCTCGTGTCGTGCTGTGCAGTTTGACCGTGAGGGTGCATGTGTGTGTGTGTGTGTGTGTGTGTGTGTGTGTGTGCGTGTGTGTGTGTGTGTGTGTGTGTTTGTTGAGGGGGGGGCTCTCGACCCTGCGATCTGCAGTCTGACTGCTGGAGTAGGGCTATTCATATGATGTAATAGGTATAAATGGTATGATAGGTATGTGGTGGTGTAATAGGTATGAATGGTACGATAGGTATGTGATGATGTAATAGGTATGAATGGTACGACAGGTATGTGTGGTACATAATGGTGTGTTGTGCATCTTGTTAGAGGGACATATGTGGCAGCGCTCGTCTTACACTTTTAATTGACAGGACCATGTGGGACGGGACCCCCGTCTCCAGGTAGAGTACAAAGTTGCCTTTGGAGTTGGAGACACAGAGGTGCAGATGGCAGCGTGTTTGGGAGTTTGGGCTCTGATTACAGCCTCATCTCTGGTTATGACGAACGGATTAATTTGGCACCGAACCGTTATGATATTACAAAAATGTTGACATCAGCATTATTTAACGAGAATGCTGTATGTTCTCTTGATGACAGGTTACAGAGTGATGGTGATGAAGATGTTG